ATTTCATCGCACACGTTAAATTTTTTTTTCATAAATAACAAAAACATATTTATTCAGTCATTCATTCATTCATTCATAATATTCAGCGTTCGTCCATCTAATCCATCTAAACACAGACAGAATCCACATTCATACCAACGGAACGAACAAACTTTACTTCCCAAAGATGGGGTCGCATACTCACGTCCACTAAACCACCACCTCTCACCACCCATCAAAAACGGTCCACCCATTAAGACCAATCAAACTCGACGCAGTTGTGTTCCTTAATTACTGAGTTCATATGGCCACATTCCAGCTCTGTCATCAGACCCTGGTTACCATCTAGCACTAAAGAAATCGACAAGACGAATCAAACGAGCCGAAACTCGATGGGGTTCAGTCGTTTCATTACAGAGTGATCATAGGAACCTCACAGAAGATCGGCGTAAAGTACTTCTGCGTTTTGTCTGGTGAGTGAGGTAGCCGGAGCACACTTTATTGTAAGGAGCAAATGCATCTGCAACCCTATGCATATGTCCATGGACGGCTGAAGATGGAGCTCCTTCATAAGATCCTGGTTACCTATGAAATTAATTAATTTATTTATTTGTTTATTTATTTATTTATCTAAGTGAAAGACAAACTACTCGTCAATACGATTCAAATGTACCCGAACGCGATGAGGCTCTGTCGTTTCATTGCGAAGTTCCTTTTGCCACCTTCCAGCTCCATCATCAGATCAGCACCATGTCATAAAAATATTGCATTGTCTCGCAATTAATACATGTATACAAAATTTCAGCTCAACCGGTAACCGGGAAGTAGATCAAATTTAATTTGCAAGATTTGATGACAAACATTAAAATTTTATAAAAATGTTCATAAAATGAAAACTACTTGGCCAAACTATAGTAAATTTTTATGGGTAAAAATGGCAACTATTCTACATCAAACTAAAGAAGAATCACGTAAATCGGATCATAAATCTCAACGTAATCGGTGTACATACATCGAAAAACAATATACCAATAGAATTGAGAAACTCCTCCTTTTGAAGTCGGTTAAAAATATTATATTAATTTAATTAAATATTGAAGGTACATATATAAAATCTATATTGTGGCAAATTTTAATTATTGGTCCACCTAGGTCCTGGACCCAGCCCAGGGGGGGGGTCATGACCCCCATGACCCCCCCCCCCTGGATCCGCCCTTGCATGCAACGGCAGTTATATAATAATTTCTACACATCATAGTCCCCTGTGTGGTTCGACACGACAGTACAATAGGCTTTTGTCAGCCAGGTGAAGACTTTATTGCTCGCACAAACCTTTACACGCCTCTGTCTCATAAACACTTACACGTACAGCTTTGGCTATCTTCTGTAATGGAAGGTTTCACTAGAACTAAGTATTCACAGGTGAAAAAGTGTTTGGTGACTCCGCGACGCAGTGGCCAAGGTATTGGCTTCGGCGTCGGGGGTCGTGGGTTCGATTCCCACACGGTACAACTAATTGTGCGACCCACAGATAGTTGTTTCGCATCTGGGTGTTTGTCCGCGTGAAATTCATGTTTGTAAAACGTCCTTACAACACAGGATAAAGTTATCCTAAAGTAAGGGCAATGTTTTTGAAAAAAAAAAAAAAAAACCGTCTTCATTGACATCACTAATATCAAACGGATTTCTGTTCTACGTTTATCTCATAATAGAATTTGTTACTCGGAATTAGTGACACGGCAGCAGTAAACGGAGCGGAATGCTTGGTGACCATAAACCGCGGCCCCATTTAGAATTACCCCCTGATCCTATCTCCGGGTAACTTTAAATTCATTGAGCGATATTGTGTAGGAGGTGTAGATGTTCAAAAATATAAACAATTATATTCATATTAGAAATGAGCGTTTTAAAGAACGATTATATTATATCAGTTTGATGATATAAACAGAAACGATGAATACTGAATTTGACTTATATCGTTATAGTAAAAGCATACATAACCCGACATGCTTTGTATTCACGGTCTCTTCGATTTCTTAAGGATGCTTCGGGCACGGAGCCCGCGGAAATGCTCGCTTCCGCAGCCTTAGTTATAAAGCTTAACTACGGCATACGTAATTCTATATTAAATATAGAATTACGTATGCCATATTACTAGTGTATGCTTTCTGAATAAGTTATTTTCTTCATCTAGTTTGCTTTTTAAGAAAGCAAGTGCATTACATGATTGTATTTAATTGTCACCATTTATGGACTCTTATGCCGAATACCACCTGTACATAGGATGCCATTTGCCCAGCCGTGGGACATATATATGTCCCACGGCTGGGCAAACAGCCGTGACAAGAAACACCCTGTGTAGGCTTCCAAACATTAACATTTACTAATCATTTCAGAATCGTGGTCTAGCTCTGGAAATACACTAGTCACCATTGTAATAGATATTGAAAATTAAAAAAAAAACTGCAGCATAATCAATTTGTTTCCATTTACATTTTCAATCGACTTCAAAAAACGAGGAAGGTTTCAAATTGGCTTCAATGAACTCCGTCTTTTATTATAGATAATTGCAAAAGGATTTTTATAAAAAAAAAATAATTTTATTTGCATTAGGCTCGTATTACCTCCGATGTGGTCGCATATTAATTTTATTGTTATTGGGTCTTGAATCAGAAGTTCAATACAGCTGAGAGTGTATAAGTAATGTGATATTTGAAGTCGATTTTGTTTTATTATGATAAAAGTATACTTGTCTATGAATAACAAATTTTTATAATTTATTCATTTATCTTTACACACGTGGTCGAGATAGTTACATCAATTAGGAGAACTTGTAATGATCTTTGCATCTACAACAGTAAATAAATTAAAACACAATACGCTACGTGTAATAGTATAAGTCTACTTTTATATTGAATGTTCATACTGATTACAACTAAGAAGCTATTAATATGTTTTGCTCTTAGACATCAAAATAGAAGCTATGTTCATTTTTCTAACGCTTCCTTTAATAGAAAGTTCAGCGAATTCATTAATTTTAAAAAAAGAACGTATTTTTCATATTATTTGAAGCACAGGAGTTGGCGTTACACGCGATCTCTAATAATAAATATAATTCGCGGTAACATAACGCCGAGTAGGCAGCGTATCAACGTTAATTAGCCCGGATTTGTTTCGTAACGAGATGAAATTGTGATGTGACCTGTTAATTATTAACATGACGACATTTTATCGCGTCAGCCGGGGTTCGGGGGAGTTACAAAGAAAAAGTTTCAAGTGCTTATGCGTTGTTGGAAGCGTTATATTGTCGCAATGACAATCGAAACTTACGTTTTCGGATAATTAAATATTTCATTCTTGCGTTGAGGAATAATTTATGCGAAATAATTATGTCATCGTAATTCTTTCCTAGTCTAATGCTTAGTTATTAATTATACTATCAGACTTTGGATTTTTATAAAACTGTTATAACAAAAGATTTTTTGCCGAATATTTTTGTTTTTAACATGGTCTGTCAAATGCAGCATGCATGACTATTAACTAAATAATTTAAGCCCTTTCATTAAAAATCTCTGCTTGAAATTTTATATCTTTTCTTTTTCTTTTAATTTTAATTTTCGTCGTTTCTAATAACACGTATTTTAGATGTTTGACGTTCATATCATAATTGTTATTGGGTTTTATTTTATTCAGGGGCCAGCGCTCACAGATAATAATATATCAGGAATTTTAATTAATTTAATTTACACATTGGAATAAAGGTAAGAAACTATTAAGAGCGAATATATTAATAATAAATATATTTCTTTTCATTCCTACTGTTACATGGGTGTTTTGTCTGTGTCCAAAGGGTTTATTTTTTATTATGAAGAATATATTATATGTATATGAATGTAAGTATTGTTCCAACGCTTAATTGTAACAAACGCTTCCGTACTATATACATAAGCATATGTGTATAGTACATCAAGTTTAAGAGATATAACGTTCAACCCAATTAAGTGTATGTAAATTATAAATTGCAATAAAATTAAATAAATTAACAATTCGCTTCTCATTATTACCGCTAAACGGTTAAACGTACATATTAAGTAGAATTTTCTGTTACAGTGAAGCAATTATCATAATTTAATCACCTGCGTAGGTAACATCATGTAAGTTAGAGCTTTAAGCTGTAACTTCGAGCTTCGGGCGAGCGTACTCTGTGGTGTTTGTCATTTTCCAAGACCCAACAGCTACGTTCATAAATTTTAATGTTTACGTATTTAAAAATTCATGTTATTTTATTAAAAACTAAAAGAACATAGAAGGTGTTGAATTGATAAACAAAGGTAAGTGATAATGAACGTAAAGCCATGAAATTAAGCAATTAAGCAAGTCGAAAACTTTTAAGTTTCTCATGTTTTGGGTCTTTCAAAATGGCCTCTCCCTATAAGTTTCGTCAGAGCTTGAACGCGTCGGTACCGCGGAGGAGGGGGGGGGGGGGGGGAAGCGGAGGGATGGGCGGGGGACGGGCCGCATGCGTACCGAGGGCTCGAGCTGCATTCCAGTAGTTCGGCCGACCGCCGCGCGGCGCTACGTATATTACGCCTGTTTGCGACGCCCGCTCTCACCACAAAGAACGCTTCAGTATTGTAAAAAAATCTGTGATGTATTGATTAATTCCAACATTTTGCCAACACAAAAACCGTTGGTGGACCAAAACGGAGTTGTTTCGAACACGGTGCGCATTGTTTCAGTGAGCTTCTCTAGCGTTATACTGCGGGCCACGTCCTATGGAATTCCACATTTATCGATGAATAGAATCTAGTGTGTGGACCGAACATGGTGGACTTTACGGTGCGATGTTGAATGCGTATGGATTGTTCGTGTTTTCTGTGTTAAATTCTAACATTTTATAGTGTGAATTTGTTAATTCGGCGACTATAAATATGGATTGGTACGTGCACGCTTAGAACGCTTCCCAGGAGGGGCCGAGTTCGCGTTGGATAATGAGAGTTGGGGAACGATAAACATTAAGAATGGTATCGTTCGGCTACTTCGGGCTTCGGCAGGCCCCTTGGACTCTGCTCGTCCTGATCTTTTTCATCGATAGCGTCATGGGGAATTATGCAAAGTCTTTCTTCATACATTGGAACACAACAAATAGTATATTCAGAATAGACAATACAGATCACGTATTCGACCTTAATAAAGGAAATGCACAATTCGAATACGACCAAGTGAACATAATATGTCCCGTTTATGCGCCGGATACATTCGAGGAGGACATGGAGAAATATATAATATATAACGTAAGTAAAGAGGAGTACGACACGTGTAGGATAACGAATCCCAATCCGCGGATAATAGCGATATGCGACAAGCCGAACAAGCTGATGTTCTTCACGATCACCTTCCGGCCGTTCACGCCGCAGCCCGGCGGGCTGGAGTTCCTGCCGGGCAAGGACTACTACTTCATATCGACATCCAGCAAGGACGACCTGCACCGGAGGATCGGCGGCCGCTGCCTCAGCCACAACATGAAGCTGGTGTTCAGGGTGTGCTGCAAGCCGGAGGACATGTCGCCGGCGCCGGCGCCCCAGCCGACGCCGCCGCCGCCGCCGCCGCCGCCGACCGCGCCACCCACCACGACCACCACCACCGCTAAGCCGGCGACCAAGAAGACGCACAAATACGACAAGACGCCTAACGAGGTGGTGAAGAGCGAGGAGCTGTCGTACTCGCGCGGCGCGGCCCTCGCCTCGTCGCTCGCCCTCGCCCTGGCCGCGAGCGCGGTGCTAGCGCCCCTGGCTCGGTGAATGTGCGCCAAGGCGGCGCGGCCCCCTCGACCGGACCTCATCGCCAAGCCCTGCACGTCGCACGCACAGACGCTGCAGTCGATTCACTTGCGTCCGGACACTCTAGTCTTCGCGTAATGGGTGAACACTGTCGTGACGTTACGTGTACCTTGGGGCAGCCGCCGCCCAGGGCGGTTCAGTGCTCTGTGCCGCTTGGCGGGCATTCCCGTAAGTACTCAGTGATGTGCCGGATTTGGTTTGGTGCCAGGGGCCGATGTCCGTTAAGTGCAGTGACAATTGTAGAGTTGTGCGAAATTCCTAGGTGTTTCTATGTAAAGTTCCAATGACTTTAGTCCTTAAGGAACCTAAGTTGAGAGCCTAATTTTTACTATTGTAACTAAAGTATATCGGGCCTACTGAATAATCGAACTAATATATTATACACTGGAAGATCACTTGGAAGCAAAGCAAGCTACGAACATATTATATATAAAATGTTAACATGTGTAATGGTAATATAGGTTTCTTAAACCATTAGGAATTAAACAATTTTTATATTTTCACTAATGCAATGAAGGATATTTGATTAAGAATTAGGAAGCAAATACAGATATTATAGGAGAAATCTTATATAGAACGAGGATTAGTTAGATATTAATTTAGTTCAAAAGACATTTTTTTTTTATTTCTCACGCAACGTATATTTAGAATTTATTTATACGAAAAAAAAGCTCGGACAAGTTCAGAATCTTGTCCAAAAATACTGTGATTTTGGTTTTATTTAGGTGGTAATTTTTCTCTTTATGCTTTCATTATGTGATATGAAACTAAATGTATTTTAATGTAAAGCACTTTCACGTCATAATATTACTTTCATTTTGGAATAATTTCGCGAATACGCTTGTTTTTATTGATTTTAGAGAGCATTTTAAGGCCTACCACAATCGCATATACTTACATACGTATTATTTAAGAGTATAACTATTGATGAATTCGGAAACATTAGTTTGGGTGGAACGAACACTTGCTACCTAATATCAGATGCCTTTTCTAATGTTTAATATAACAACCACACAATCCTTGAAACAGAGATCAACAGGATTTTGATGTTGATAACAAAAGACACAATCTCAAGCGCACTCTGTGTCATTCGGATGTGCTAATAAATATCTTTGCACATTGTAATGAAATAGTCAAATAGTTCAATAGTAGTTGAAATAGACCGGTTTTCAGTTAGACATACGCATTTAGTAACAGGTATAATTTTAAATAGTACTTAAGAATCAGATGTTTGAGTTTCGTATTATATTGATGAATTTGCAATCTGAATATCATAGCTCATTAAAGTTTTTAATATTAGTAGCATAGATGACGTGAATCTAAAATCAGAAGCTTACTTACCTTAAGAGTTATTCGCATTATTTGAACGTGAATGTTTGTCTTAATCCAAGAAACAAAGGATAACGCCGCTAAGATTCCCGTTAAGGACTGCAAGTTCAACAGTAACCTATGTAAATTTATTCCTCGGTAAGGAAAGAATGAACCTACTAAAATAAAGCTAAAGAAAAATTTCATGCTCCTCGACCCGGAGGAATTAATGCTAATGAATTCTCAACCGAATCAGGTAGCCAAATGCGCGAGTTGCAATTGAAAATTACAAAAGAAAAAGCGGAATTTAAAAAGTAACCCGAGAAGAAACTAGATTTGTATTGTAATGATCTTGGCTCACAACGCACTGAAGCTACTTTATTCTCGATATGAAACATGCATGAATATAGAAACACCGAAATATATTCACTCACTAACGATCACTTATACGTTAGAACAAGAAAGATTACTGTAATAAATTTCGTTGGACGAATGGTATTACAATGTAACACAACTTTTATTGATGTCGAAGAAACCGTTAGCGTAAATTTCAAAATGAGAAACTGGATACGGAAATAATAATTTTGTTTTTTATGCTTGTTTAGTACAAACAATAATCATTGATTGTTTTTCTTCTTTAACTGAATATTATTTACAACTTGGGGACGCCGTATTTCATTCTTCTTTCGTATTTTATTTTTAAAATATCTTAAATACCATACAGACTGCCATAGTAAAAGACGTTTAAATGTTCTTACTAGATCAAGAAATGCATAAATTATTGTTTTCAATTATACATGCTTTTCATTACTTACATGAGATTGTTGCTTTTTTTGTTGCATTTGGATCTCCAGATAATGTATTCTTTGTTGACAACCTCTATGGACGCGTAACAGATATGTTTACAAATAAACAATGTCAATGTATGTAATTTTAATGCATTGTTGTCTAAACACGTTGTTCGAAAATAGAACATTTCGTTTGGCACCTATTAAGTTGGTGCGTTTACTATGGAGGTGCGTTTCTCTGTGAGTGCTTCTATTTTTATATAAACTAAACAGTTTGAATGTCTGCTTAAGCGTTTCTTGGTACAGGCGTTGTTTAAAGTTGTCTTTTGGCTATTTTGAGATTACTGCCGCGAAGGGATTGTGAAGGGATAATCAGCCTGACCTGGCGGTAATAAATTTCGAAACGTGCTTCTTTAGTACAATATTCAGTCCGCTTCTTAATCTTCGGTTCGGAAATGTTGACGGTTAAAAAAAACATACCTCGGAAACTGAATTCGTCTGTTCGGTGTTTATCTTGAAATTGGATTTTACCGTCAAATGATTCGAATGATGTGTGTAATGACTATCATTATTAACGTTCACTACTATTTGATTTAAATGATTAATGTGTCTTCTTGAACGGCGCAAAGCGATCAAAGTTACACTTTATTAATGCGCCGAATCATTAAATTAATGGATCTAACATTTATCGCCTCGAAAGCGCACACATTCGCATAAGTAAGGCGGTAACAGAATGACAATTTCAAAGATTTATATCAAAGTTTTCGTGTTCTATTCTGAAGGAACGGCGCGCGGTATAGTTAGCAGTGACATCAAAGAATCCAGGCCGGGATTAATTGATGACTTCATATTCGTTCCTCTTACTTTTAGACATATTTTTTTTACCAGGTATAAGTTTTATTCGTAATACATTTCGAGGTCTGGATACGGTTGTCAGTTCAAAGGTTTTGTTTTATGTTATTACAATATCTATAATAAGCATCATGGCTAGTGTTGGGTGTTGTATGTATTTTTGTGTATCCTATTTGATGGTGTAAAAAAATTTTCGGTTATTTTATTTTGTTAGCCCTGAAGAACTGAAGGGTGGGTATTAAAGCGTCATTCGACATTATCTGCAAACAATTCATCTAACAAGCGTATAATGATTTGATAATGAATTTGTCAACACAATACGAAACTCAACCACGTGAACAATTTTTCTTAGTATTCTATCTCATATTAGTTTTCGGTTAGTTGTGCTGTGTACTTAGATTAATTAATTGCCTATATTAAAAATGACCTCATTTTTGAATCTCGAAAGAAAATCAGTCCGCTAGTTTTAATGATGAGAAAAGCATAATTTTATATTTAACTAAAGTTTGGTCTATTCGCCGGCTGGTGACGAAATTGTTAAAAGATTAAATAAAGAAAATTTATAAATTGATTTCATTAATGTGTAAGAGTTTTGTTTTTAAACTCAAGGAATGAAGTTTTTCCACTCGGAAATCATTTCTAAAAATTTACTTCCTTCAGTTTTCAAAGATAAGCATCATGCAGTGCTTTAAAAACGTCCTAAAATTGTTATAAGTTGACACCTTCGTCTCTGGTCGGCGAATGAAAGTTAATTGATAAATAACTTATATTATGTGACGTATTTCCTTTTAATTATGGCATAGTTATTAAATTGAAACGTTCCGGTGTCAGTGACGTCATTAAGCAGAGCTATCCTAGAATGTGTGCCTCGTTAGATCAAGAATTTTGTCCAAGCATAACCATCGCACAGTTTATCTATCAGATGCCATAAACTCATGGTAGATAAAGCCATCTAGTCTATGGCTGTGCTTCGGCAGGCTTCTTGAAATATATTATTTTACTCAGTGGAGGTTGTAATGTTTGTATGTTTCACTTGTTACACACTGCTTTCGAAGAACTTCCTATATTTTGAAAACGAAGACGTGTGAATAGTTAGATTTTAGTCTTTTGTAACTAATGAGATGTTTATTTTTAAAGACAAAGGCGCGTCAATGTATTTAAATTCGTGTATCATCGTCAGTAAAATTTTTACTCCCTCCAAAACATTAAACAGGAAGTAAAAGATAATCCCATTGGAAGGGCTTTTTCTTTGTTGATCTTATTTTATTGTAGAAAAGAGAATAATTTCAGTCAATATAGACGAGTGACATGCGTTTGAATTATTTATATTTTCATGTTGGTGCTACTGACGAACGCTAAAATGCATTTAATACGAATAAGTATTTTACCTTTGTACTGTATTCTTTTTTTTTTTTAATTTCAAACTAATTTAAAAACAAATAGACTGAATTTTATCACTTACGTTCGTATATGTACTTAAGTTTTGTATTATATTTAATAGAGTAAAGTATAACTAAAATTTTATGGCATCAGCTACCTCTTGAAACTGTTCTAAAGGTATTTTTGTAGTAATAACTATAGTATTAATAATGAGCTCTGATTACATGGCGTCACTGGAACCGGCTTTGTGCTTTCCTATAAAAGAGAATAAAGAAAAAACATTCAAAATCCTTACTATTCCTAAAAAAAAAAACAATTGTTGGTTATTATGAAAAAAAAAATGGTTAAATCATACTTAATAGGTTGTAGGGAACGGTGTATGCGCCGGTTAGTTTACGATACGTATATTTTTTGCAGCTATATCTTTATGTATTATTGCTATTAACTATTATAAAAAAGCGGCCATAAATATAATTGCAATTGTTTTTGAGAAATCGGCGGGTGCAGAGACAGTTTAGCTATTCATTCGACATTTTGAAATCTAATATAAAGATATAAATCTTTCGGAGGTTCCTTAATAACATAATTTCGCCATGTATATTAATATGAACTACACTAATGTATGCAGTA